CATTATATAATGTCATTGTCAAATTTGGTAGGCCTCTACTTAATAATTATCAAGAAAGCAATCTAACTTGTTATTACAACAGTTTTATTGCAGATTGCTGGTTTAAGACCTTTTTGTGACAAGTGACATTTTTTTTCTGGGAAAAGTCATTTCTGTTCCCCTGTAATTATCTTCACAACCAGCAACAACTTCCTGCTTTGGACATATTGGGACATTTTATTTTAGAAACCAAGAATTAAATTGCTGCTAACTGTTTAGCACACTGCAAAGGCTTTCTTGGTTCTTTCTTATGCCCTCTCTCGCCCTGAGCCCCTTTCTTACCCTGCTCCAGTCCGTTGCATGTGCAGACACTGAGTAAAGCGCTAAGAAGGACTCTAAGAACTGGATGAGCAAAGCCCATTTTGCTTTACCAAAAACAATGGTGTTGATGATACAAGTCAGTATTTCATCTCGGGACATCAAATCTGAGTAATCTGAAGACATGTTCTGGGGAGTAAACCCCTGGCAGCAGGAGCTATGGAGAGTCTCAAGGACAAAGTGCTGTCTGGAACTTAGAATTATATTTACATTTTGGCATATTGATTCGAGGCAAATGTTTGATTCCCAGAATGTATCACCACTATTACTTCTTTTGACATCCTTCTTTTCCAATCTCTCTGCTTCTCACGGACAAGTGAAGAGGCATCTTGTTGCGTGATTCGATGCTCAACTCCCAAACCTTCTCTGCTTAGAGTTTCCTAGTTGGTTACTTTATCTCTTAATGTGGGCTCCCAGCAGGTCAGGAGATTCTGCCCTCCATTCATTCATACATTTATTTAATCAGCATGCATTGAATGCTTACTCTTTGCACTTTGCAAAATGCTGGGGAGAGAAAGCATGCATCTTACCGCGAAGAAGCTCAACTCGAGGACAGAGAGGTGAATAAGCAAGTGATTATTGCACCACACACCGGTGCCCTGTTCACTGGCCTTGGTCTGTTCTTACCTCCTGGCACCTGTGCTTCAGCCTTAAGCCCCGACCCCTGGACATTGGCTAACTCTCTGTGGCAGGATCTAGCAGAAAACTGTGATTTTTTTTTAGCAGAGCAGAGACATAGTGCAAGATTTGTGTTTTGTGGACATGCAGAAGGTACTTGTTACAGCAGGGATTAAAAACGTAGGTGCCTCTAGGGGGCAGAAGTGAGCCACAAAGAGTGAAGACTGAAGAGGCAGGATCATTGGGGAGTGCTGGGGACTATAGCATATTGAAGAGCTTGTGTCCCTTCCAGAGGGGGTCAGTGCTTCAAAGCTCCAGTCCCTTTTAGCCAGACAGTAGTGTCTGCAGTGTGGCCATTTATGATTTATCAAGGAAAGCTGAAAGGCTAGTTTTTATATGAGATCACCTATTAGTATCTAATTCTGGGTTTTCAAAAAGGCTATGCTGACCGAGACACCATGCTGGTCTTCTGGTCACCATCTCATTTGCTTTGTTCTTATAAGAAGCATTTGTGTAGCACACCGCATTGAGATTTGATTTCCACTTTTGGCCTTTCTTCCCAAAGGCCATTTGACCTGGAGCAAGTTGCCCCTTGTTGGACCTCAGTCTGTCACCTCTATGAGAAGGGCAGCCCCAACTAGTCTTGAAGGGCCTGAATTTCATAATCCATGGGGTGGCGCTGTTTGCATATAATCACTTCATGGACATCACTCTGTCCTCTCCATCCCTTTGGCCAGTGAGTAAAGGTTGGGTTTGGGTCAAAGAGCTTCTTAAAATGAGGCATTTATAAAGCCATATGGAATCATCTCAGATATGGATTTGGAAGTTATGAAAGAGGACTCAGATCTCCTGGTCCACTGTGCTAGGCTAAGGAATGTGCACAAGACTGTGTAAATTTTATTGACTTTCCTGCATTAGAAAGCTCCTCTTTTTATATCGAGTTGGTAAATGGCGTCATAGTGCCTAGAAAGACATAATGCGCCATTACTGTGGACTACATTTTTGCTTCTGCCAACAAGATCAGGTCGTTAAAAGCAATTAAGATCCATGATCCCTTGAACCGCAGAGTCCCAAATCAGGGTGGCCAGTCACTCATGGGATATCAGCGTATTGGCCTCTTCATGATCTCTGCTAAATTAAGATGGGCCTTCTCCTTGAGATTTTGGCATTTAGTTGCTATTTACATTAGAAAGTGGTTACCTAATCTGGTAATTTGGTTCAACAAATATTGCATAAGCCATCTGATATTTTAAACAATTTAAGCTCCAGGAGTAACAGCCCCATAAAGGGTGCGTGTTAGCAGTGCTTTATGGAACATAAATTAAGAAGAGCATTTTTCCAGCTGTAGTTGGATACTTGAGTTGGTGTTTCAGCAAACTGCATAATCAGCACAAAGCCCAGGTCATTAGAGTCCGCTGGCAGGAATCAGCAAACCTGCAAATCACCAGGAGAGCCCAAATACGCCTAGATGAAGTGGTCTTTGAAATCTGACTGTCTGTTGAAAGCAATACGGGAGGCTGTGACCTCATATGTAGAGGTGAGCAATTGGTCTTATTTCCACTGGAGAGTACAAGGCCTTCACCAACCTCATTGCTTTTCTATTTGCAACCAACTAAAGGCCTCCTGTTTCACTTAGAGTAAACCACAGACTGGCAGGCTTGTTGCTGTGGCCAGCGGTCTTCACAAACTTGCTCTTGCCTAGCTCCCTGCCCTAATCACTGTCCCTTGTGTGACTTTCCTCACTCGGCTGCAGTCTAGTTGTCCTTGTTGCTGATCTTCAGACACCCTGAGTTCCTTCCTGCCTCAGGACCCTTGCACTTGCTGCTTCCACTCCCTGGAAAGATTTTTTCGCCAGATCCTTTAATTGCCTGCCTCTTCTCCTCAACTCCTGCACTCTGTGCTCTAGTTTACGTTCTCAGGATGGTCCCTCTGGACGCCTGCAGAGAACACCCCTTCCCAGTCACTGTTTTGTTTGGTTGGGTTTGTTGTTGTTGTAATTGTTGTTTAATTGGAGTAGAGTTGACACACAATGCTACCTTAGCTTCAGGTATACAACATAATGATTGGACAATTCTGTTATGTTATGTTCACCACAGGTGGGGCCTCCATCTATCATCACACATCACTGTGACAATACCATTGAGTGTACTCCCCATGCTGTGCCTTTCATCCCTGGCCTCATTTAGACCATACCTAGAAGCCTGGACCTCCCACTCCCCTTCACCCATGTTGCCCATTCCCTTCCAACCCTCTCCTATGGCACCCATCATTTGTTTTCCATATTTATGGGTCTTCCCAGTTACTGTTTGTCCTCTTAGGTTGTTTTGTTTTCTGCATCGTGCTTTTCCTCATCTGGAAATTTATCATTTATTCAGTTGTATATTTGCTTATTATCTATCTTTCCCAGTACAAAATAGGTTTCCCCAGAGTTAAAGGTGTATATCCTGCCAGATACTAGTTGGGGACCTTGGACAAGTTACATGGGCTTTCTGAGCCTCAGGTTCATCACGTGTAATATGGAGATAGCTGTCGAAGTCACAAAAACTGGGGCCCTCTCTCCCTCTTGGGGATATTGTGGGGATTAAATGAGAGCACCAGGAATGGTCCCATCTTGTGACCCCATGCAACCACCCCCTTATAGTGCTGCAACTCAGTAATCCACTCACTTCTCAACCTGTCAGTCAGCCAATGTTTCATTATCCAAAAAGTCCTTAAGACATACGTTCATTATAGAAACTTGTCCTATATAATGAAATCCTTTTCTCTTTGTGCTTTTATTTCTGTGAGTATATAAATAGATGTTTTCGCCAAATCATATCACATTATTTACATGTTTATACCTGTATAATATTATTTATTAATCTTAGACTTTGAATATTCTCCAAAAAGTCATTTTGAATGCTAAAACTATATTGTACCATACCTTACTTGACCATTGCTTTATTATTGGACATTTAGGTTGCCTTTTTTTTTTTTTTTTTTTTACTTTGCATAAATATTACTACCTTGAACATCTTTGTGCATGAATACTTCACTGGCCCTTTTGTTATTTTCTTAAAACCCCAGTGAGGGGAAATCATGTGATTATTGAGCTTCTTTGTGTCTGTGGTTCCCTGGGCAGCACAATGGGGAATTCCGCATAAACCCCAAACTCTTAAGGAAGCCACACTGGTAGAGGAGATGGCTTTCAGGCACAGACTGCCATGGGGAGCAGCCATAGCCAGTATGCAGCTGAGGAAGGGCTGAAGGAGGTGGTGGCAGACAAGGGCACTGGGTGGGTTCTGGGAATGGAAAGCCAGGGGCGAGGGGGTCTGCAGATGAGTTGCACAGAAGGCTGGATTTGATGGGGGTTTGGGGGGTGGGTCAGGAGAAGAGAAAGCACTTGGGGTGTAGGGATCATCTCCATGAAGGCATGGAGGCAGGAACGAGCCAGCTTCAGAGCAGGCTGGGCTGAGGACGAGAGCCCCGGATGAGAGCCCCAGGCAGAGGAGGTGAGGCAATGCGGATGCGGCCAGGAGTGCCGGTGCCCACAGTCACGTGCTGGGCAGTTACATGGAGGCTAAGGATTATTACCATCATTCTGAGCACACAGGGGTCTGCTCGGAACAACAATATGAGCCATTTGTACAAAAGACCGAAATGGAATCCAAATAATAGGTCCAGCTGCTCCAAATACCTCCCTCCCCCTGCAGTTAACATTTTACTACCCGACCGAGTAACTAATGAATCTGGCCCAGCATAAATCCCCAGGCACAAATTCCTACTTGGGGTCTGTGTCTAGACATCCAGACCCGAGTGCAGTTTGCACTTTGAACATTCAGCGCCTTATCACTTGCGAGAAATCAGGTTTAATGGGGAGGATGGGGAGGTGTCGCTCCCACCCCCTCCCTTTGGCACAGTGACTGTGGAATGAGGGTCCCCGGGATAATGAGTGCATCAGGCGATGGAGAGGTCGTAATCGTGTTTGTTATGTGGCTTTGGCCGTTCAGAAGCACTGACGGGGAGGTTTCTCCATCTCATTGCAGGCTGTGTTTTGTGAAGCTCAAGCTCCTGATGATAGCCATTGAGTACAAGTCCGCCAACCGGGAGAGCCGGTAAGTTTGCTGCAGCCCAGTGGCCTGCTGACATGCGTGAGCCGGTGAGAGTGCTCTCGGAGCGCTCCGTCCACCCACTTCTTTCCTATGCGTTATTGATGTGCTTGGGCCCCTGATGTGACCCATCTCTGACACATCTCAGGGCATGCCCAACCAGATACCGTCACCTCTATGGCAGACCCACCTGGCATCCCAAGCCCACTGGGCATTCGGAAAATGTTTCTCCAGAGGAAAGGGATGAGGCATCCAGATCTCCACTGGATCAGCCCAAGTGATACTTTTCACCCTCTCTACACAAAACCAGGGACAGGGCCTGTCCTCAAACCCCGTTTACTGCCATGATCTCAAAGCAGGTGGATTCTGGCCCCCTTCACAGCAGGGATGGGGCAGGGCCGTGATGTGGATGCACCAGCTCTCTTGATAGCCAAATTACAAGCAACCTATTGTGTACCATATGGGCTTTTCCCGGTGCAGCCGAAATCCAGGTGGCGGAATATCGGCTTCATGTAAATTAGCCAGGAGAGCAGGGATCACAGGCAGGAGCCCTCTTTATTTATTTATTTTGCACTTAATTATGTGCATATCAGACTGATGAGGGACTGGGTCTGTTTGAAATAGATAACAGCCCAGTCAATATATGAGCTCACAGTGGAAGAATGAAACACCCCATTAACAGGGGACTGTGTTGATGCAGGACTGTATGCATTACGGATAAAACAGAGATGAGGTTTTTGCTTCCCCATTTTTATCAATGGGTTTGGAAGAAAGAGCTCATTGAGAAGTGCGTGGGGCTTTCGTGCTCTAAGATGACCTCCGGGTTTGTTCCTACCTATAAGTCTTCCTGTGGCTGCCCAAGTGTAGAGTACAGATCCCCTCCCACGTGTGCCTTAATATGTTGAGTGCAAGGCAAGACTCAAAGGTGCCTGCTCTCGCCATCTAAGGAGTTTTCATTATCGGGATGAATAACTCAATAAAGCCAGACTTCCAGACATACAGTCTGTGTTTCTGACAAATAAAACAAAAACCAAACAAAACCCCAAAACACTGGATTGTAAGCAAGTCAATTCAATGTTCCCCGTTACCTTAACCACCAGATCAATTGCCCACCAAGTCAATCTGATCAAAGGCTAAGCTCTTTGGAAACTCCAAATCAACCAAGAGCAAGTAGAAATGGTAGATTTGGTGGCCATGTGTTAAACACGGCCATAGCTGTTAATAATGATGTATAGATACGGTTTTCTTCTTTGTGTTGGCAAAGTGAAGAATATTATGTGCAAGAAATTGGGAGCCAGGGTCCTGGCTCTTGGCTGTTCAACAGGTAAAGGGGGGGTTTCTGGGATTACTGCTTTCCCACACAGTGGCTGGTAGTCACCAGTGCCTGCAGAGGGGGAAACAGGTGCCCTAGGTTTTTGCAAATGATATTTTTCATGTTGCCACATCCGAAAATCTGTGTAACTCAGTCTTCTCTCTTTATCACTTCTGTGCATCTCTCAGAAAAGTGTCATGGTGTGGGTGGCGCTTAATGCTGAAGGCGCCTCTTGACCCTCCTGGTATGATTTCATGGCAGGAGTGTGTCCCCTGAACCTTGACCAGTCGTCTCCCAGCTGCCACCTTTTGGTTACAAGGAGGGAGAGGAAAAAGCCTGTTAATGGTTCAGTGTGAATCTGCTGTCACTATTCTAAGAAAATTAACTAGGAGCTTTCCCTGAAGACAAAGTCTTTTCTTTGATGGACCCTCCAATTAACTCACAAATCTGAGATGTTTTCAACAAAGCCATATTTATAGATATAGATTTTTAGCTTTTTTTTTTTTCCCTTTCAGAAAAGAGCGAAAAGAACTTTTTGGCTTTGTTTTTGGCTTTCTGTGTGCCGTTGCCAACTTTAACCCCCCTCATGTCGCTTGGTCTCAGTGTGGAAGCACATTGGTTCTTGTGGAAAAAGGTGTGTTGGAGGGAATGTGGATTATGCCTCTGAGAAAACACCGAACTTCTTGAACACAATAGCCATGCTAAAAAAAATTGAGCTTTTGACCCTTCCTGAGATAAGAGTTTTGATTTTTTTTTTTTTTTCTTCAGTGAAGAATTTCCCATTTCCTTCCCTCTCCCACTTTCTAAGTGGCTGGGTGTTAGAATTCACAGAACCCAGCCTCTCCTCTCCACCCCTCTGCCCCCGGCCTGTGTCAAACTATCTCCTCTGTTGTTTTACCCCATGACGCTGTTTTTCCATGCTCTGCTGAAAAACCTTGTTTTCACATGCATCCTTCAAGTAATTTGAAACAAAGGTTTTGTTCCTTCTTTCCTTCTGGTGTCAGTCAATTTATTATCAAATTGTTTGATTTAAAATTCTTTTCTTGTCGTTTTGCAGAAGCCGAAAGCGGTATGCGCTCTTCGTTAAACTTTCTCCCAACCCCCACCTGCTATCTTCACTGCTAACCACAGGACTAACCATTTGCCGAGAATTCAGGAAGATAGAGATTATATATATGTGTACACATACATATAATCTCATTCCCTTGTCTAATAGACATATATATATGTATATATATACATACATATATGTTTAACCCCTCTCCAATGAGAGCACATAAAAATTGAAAGTAGCATATTGCTTTTCTCATTCAGTTTGTTGATTCTTTTGGATAATGCACTAACTTCTTTGCAGGAGACCTAAAAACGCGACAGGTATAATTCCTGTGTTCAGTCATGGCACCAGTGATGGGAACCAGTGCCATCAACATTGAGAAGGAGAATGCTCCTCTCCAGCCCCTGGTGTCTGTTTCTGTCCTGTCCTGATGTGTCTCAGTGTCCACCAGGCTCTGTGGTGCCATCTGTCTGCATACCACATCCACATTCCCAGTGACTTCCTCCTCCCCATGTCCAGTTTCCTGTTTGTAGAGCAGAGATCGTGTCCTTTTATCCACAAAACAGAGACCAAGCTCCTCTAACACTCAACTTTTGTTTTGTCCTTGCGCTTATTTTGATGATAACATTTTGCATATTTTCTTCCTTGGGCAGTCCTTGGTACAGACTTAGAACACTGCTACCGGATTGCCAGATTGTCACATTTGATTTAGTGAATGAGTACTGTTTATTGAGATAAACTCATGGTTTTATTTTTTTCCCTAGTGTGTTTGGGCACATTTCTTAATGTGACGTATCTCCACTTTCACCATGTGACGTCACCCTGTTTTGCTGCTGTTTTCTGTTGCACGAAGCATGACCAAATCCTCATCGATAGCATTTGCTTTTAACTTTTTCGGTTGATATTTCCAGTGTAGTTTTTCAATAATGTGTTCTCTAAAACAGTATTGTTGAAAACATACGATCAAGATGCCTTCGTGTTCATCTTCTCAAGAGTTGTTTCTCTCCGTGGTTGGAATCACTGTCATGTGTTCGTGTTTGTGATTGTTGTGGTGTGTTTGTGCGTATGTGTGGTGGGGATATTTGTCTGGAACTCTTTCCAGAGTCCAATTTCTTCTGTGATGTTTGGAGTAGATGCGTGACAATAGAGGTGGCTTCCTGTCAGTTTGGTATTATGCTATGATCCAACTGCGAGAAGTTACTGCAACACTTTGCATCTTCAAAGGTCCACAGTGGTTGCACCTCTGCTGTTGGCTTTTGGCCTTTGAGTCCTTTTATCTTGTGGTGGAGGCATGTTGTGACGTAGCATGACTTGTCGTAAAGTGTACCACAAAGTGACATGGCTTGCTCCCAGAACCAAATAGCGGCCATTTTCCCTCCCAAACGAACTATCTCTTCCCCATTCCCTATGGTTCCTATGTGCCAAATATATTTTTAAATGCCACTTCTAAACTCACTGTGGTGGGTTCAGGCTGAACAGTTCCTCGCCCATACCATTGGTGGGCCGTGGTGGCCGATGTTTGAGTCTGACCGACTGGGAGCAATCTTTATTATGGTGTCTCTGTGTGAGCAAACTGGGCTCAAAAACATTGAAGCATTGGATACACACTGTGTCTCCTACATATAGTCTCTAAGTAAAAGTGTGTGTGTCTAGTTGTGTGGGACTCCAGCAGCATATATTTGAAAGCCCAGAAAAAAATGGAAAGTTCCGGAAAGGCAATACGATTTGAGCTTTGGGGTTTCTGTAGGCTGTGCCCTCACACAGCCCATAAACCGCAGGGCAGTTGTGTTCCTGAGAGGAGAACAATTGGCTCCAAGTCCCACCCAATAGCAATCATACATGACCATGGGTGGTCAAAGAGGCCACTCCCCAGTGGCGTCGTTCATCTGGGCACAGCATGAACTGAAGTCTTAGATGGTTCTTATTCCCTTGCTCTAGTTAATGAAGTCCCATCAGCTTGCTAGACACAGATATAATTATCATGTTACCAAGTACGGTGATATTCTCATGTGACTGATGGTTCCATAATTGTTCAGGGAATGGTACATTACACCTACCAAAAATTGAGGCAGGGGGCGGAGGGGTGGCCAGGGAGAAATACACACCTGTCATAGTTACCCATAATGGATAAACGATTTCTTTAAAAAAATAGGGTTCAGTTGAACTATTCATCATTGGTTGTCTCCGAAAACAGCAAACAAAGTTTATGATGATTGAAGAAGGAATAAGTAGATGTTTCCTAGTTGTTATGCATAAGTGGTGGAGAAGAGGAATAAATCATTTTGCCCTGTCAAGCCCCAAGTCTCCAACCTGACTAAAGTTCAGCAAGACATACACAATGAAATGCACTGTAGCTTGAGGCCTGGAGCTCCCCTCCCTCAGGAACACGACAGGGACATTTTTTTGTTGACTTGAGCCCTCCTAGCCAGTCCTATGTTCTGGTGTTTTCTGTTTCAACTCCGAGGGGTGCTTTCAACATTGAAATCAATTGCTCCTCCTCCCTAAGTGGCTCTTTACGCATCTGTATGTTTAGATTTTTGTACTTAGTGCATCTGGGAGATTGTTAGCTCAGTTGCCAACCCCCTGGAAAGGTGTGGTCACTCCTTTAGTAGGCGTGACTGAGAAGAATTGCCACTCAGGCTTTGAAAGAACAGTTGTGACTACCTTTTTCCTTACCAGAGAGGGAAAGGAACACTTTTGGAGCAGAGACCAATGATTTATGTTTTTTATACATTCCACACGTAGTTGAAGAGTGCCTACTGCATACTGGGTTCTAAGCTGGCAGCTGTGAGAAACTAACTTACAAAAATAAATAAAATATGATCTTGCTTTTCGCTATTCTTTTTCAACTATGGGTTCCCCACAGAAAGTATGTATTTGTGTCCTTATAGTGGGCGAGGAGCCAAAGAATGAATCTCGATATAAAAGTAGTCTGAGAGCCAAAGAGAAAGAGAGGGCAAAACTCCTGGGGGAAGGAGCTAGAGAAGCCCTTTGCCTCTAGCTGCTGCTGAATGTTTTCTGTTGAAATTAGCAAGGTCATAGAAGAAAGAGGATAATTTATGTGTTCCTTGAAATGAGGGAGAGTCCATCTCTGCCAAGAAGAGGTCCCTATTGGAATTCTGCTCATTGGTATATAAACTTTTTCTTAAAGATTTTCTTGATTCTTTACATGACGCATTTTGAAGTTTATCTCTGATAAGCTAGTGAATGAGACAAAATTGGAGCCAAGGATTGATTTAACATGATACACAGGGAGGGAGACTTCTTACAGTCATAAGAACAAAACATACTTAATGGTGGATATTCTTTTAAGAGATCAAAGACCTTTGGAAAGATTTACATATTCCCAGTAGGAGGTCAATAACCTATTCTGAGGGTTGTAGGCACTTTGGTGGGAAAAAAATTACTTCTGTCTAGGATCCTTATCTTTTTTATATTTTCAAAAAGAGGAAGATTAACATTTTATCTAAATTTTCTAGATTTGGAATGTAGATAGAAGAATTAATGTCTACAGTGTTAGAGTAACACATTTCCTCAAAGAGTCTTTGAAACCTTGTACCCTTCCAATAGGGAGTATTTTCTGCAGTGGGCTCTGGAATCAGGGGCACAAGTTTCTCTAGCCAAACCCTTAAATACATCAATGGAATCCAGCAGAATGAATATTCTTACGTATCTGGATTTCTTTCCTGCATTATTCACAAGGTCTGGGCTCATTCTTTCAATTCCTACCCAGAAGACTGCCTTAGCCTGATCTGGATAGCTGCTAATGTGAGCCTACAGCCTCACACATGATGTGAAGAGATGATTTAAAGCCTCTTGCTCCTTGTTAAGCCCTCTCCAGAAGAGAATGAGAAGGCACCTTGGAATCACACGGGCAGTGATGTCCTTGGAGGTGCATGAGGTTTGAGGAACACTCCACTCTGCAGGCAAAAGCCAGTCCAAATTAGCCCATCTCCAGATGTCTTCGAGGGATATAATGTTTTAGATACTGCAGTCAGTAAAAAGACCTTTCAAATGCCAATAGGGGACCTCCCCGTAATTTATTGGCACCAAGGGCAAAATGGACAGCTGAGACCGTGCAGGAGATTGTTTGCTTCTCATTTAGTTGTTTTAATAACCATGCTTACTTTTAATAGTGATCATGCATTAAGGATCTACTACGTGGCAGGCACTGAGCACACAGAATGTACTTTAATTCTCTTAGTGACACTGTAATTGAGATTATTCACTCCATTTCACAAAGGAGAAGAGTGAGGCTGAGTGGCACCCACGTGTGCCCCAGGCCAGAGTCTGAACTCCTAGGCCTGACACAGGTACCTGCTCGCTTAACCAGCCCTGGCAGAGCAACACGTTTGAACACAAACCTGCTTCCCATCAGTGCCCCAGATCTCTCCCTGTGACCACACTCTCTTGACTACAGCAGGCTTTCAGGCTGTAATAAATGATCTCAACCTGCTGTCCCTGGAATGACAATCCCACATTCTCACTGGAAGCCAATTCTTGTTCACTGTTGATAAAGAACAGAGGAAATGAAAAGAAACTTCTCATTGATAGGAAGCTTGCTCTCACTGGCTTCCTCCCATGATACGGTGGGCTTGATCACTGGAGTGCAATTAACGAAGCACATAATATGGAAAAAGTTCCCGTGCAAGGCTTGTTTTGCACATGAATGTCACCAAGATATTGATGAGTGTCAAATTTCCCCTTTTGAATTGCATCGTTGAAATCAAGATAGGATTTTCTTTTCTACTCAGAACTTGTTTTATGCTCTGGTATAAATACATACCAAAATGGAGCTTTTTCCAGCTTTAAGGAATTAGCTTCTTTAGACACCATACGTACCCAGAATTTTTCATGTATGCTCTTGTACACTATTCTGGAATGTACAGTTCTTCACCCTGTAAATTCATCTCATTATGGACAGGATATTTTGATAAGGAGCCCTGTGTTCCATTCTATGGGGCCTGCTAAAGAAAACATGATAATTCCATTGAAAACAAAATATGTTTTGCTTTTTTTTAGCAGTAATAATAAATAATAACAATAGCCAATATGCATTGAGCCTTCTGTGCAGTATCTTGTTCAATCCTCTGAAGAAAGGCTATGATTTTCATCCTCGTTGTAGGTGAGGATATTGAGTTTGAGGGAGATTTAGTTATTTTCCCAAAGCCAGACAGCTACTAAGTGGGGATGCTGGAATTTGGGTGTAATTTCTGATCGCAGAGCCAGGGTGTCCACATACTGCCTTATAGCAAAGAGGGTAAGAAAGCGTGCAAAATCCAGAATTCTGCTCCTCTACGACATCACATTTAATTGGCTTTGAAAAAGGAGTCCATCTAAGCTATATAAGCTCTGACCCTTTTCCCCTCATGATCATGAGAAGTCAGAGGGCTGTTAAACCGATGTAAAGAATTGGCAGGGGGGTAATTAGGAGGCGCCTGTCCAGTGCCGCTGCCCGTCGCAAGCTGTTGCTATTAGTGTGGTCTGCTGCTTCCTGATTTGTGAAGAATTTCATTGCAGCCTGTGGTTCCACGGCAGAACAGACCAATCATCATGGTCCCTGGCTATTATTTAGTGTTAATAACAGTGATGACACAGGATCAGTTTCCTTCTGTCAGGTCTCGTTATGGGTAATAGTGGATGTTCTTGTGACCACAAACAATTATTTTGCCATAATGATCCACTCTTGAGTCCTCCCGGCAGAACAAAAGTTCACCTGGGTCCTTCCTGTATTACTGCAGATGCATCACTCTGTTGGCCGCAGCACTTTCCTGGAACGGTTTTGCCAGCAGTGAAAAATTACATGTTAATTACCGTCCTCCATTTTGATTGTCTTAGACAGTTGCGGACTTCCTTTAGCCTGATTCCGAACATCTATGACCTCAAAGCCGGCTTTTCAGATCAGAGATTCCTCTGTTGTATCTATTGCTGTGTTCAGAGTACCTAAATTCCCTGTCCATTAAGCCCAAAGCCTCTCAGTCTCTTTATAATACATTCCTGCATTCTGTTCTTGATCTGCAGAAAATTAAACTTGTTTGTTTCACTCATTTATTAGATGAGGAGACATATCTCTCTCTCTCTTTTTTTTTTTTTTTTTTTTTTTCAGTCCAAGCACAACTTGGTCAGCTAATCTATTTATAACACTTTGAAATAGGACTGTCTATATTTAGGTCTGCACTTCCCTGCAAAGGGAAGGTTTTTTTTAGGGATGATTTGCATTTGTTTTTTAATTACAGTTTGCCCCAATCAGGATATACCAGACACACACTTTATTCAAACACTCCCATGCATTTTGGTAAAAGCAGACTGGAATCATTTCCAACTGCTGGCATTTTTCTTTTGTCACTGTTTGCCCTCAGAGCCCACGTACATGTCTTTACCAACATTGTGCAGATGTGATGTTTGCTTCTGCATTGGTTACAGGTGTCGTGTACCATTCCCTGCAGTAATACATGTGTACGTGTATGTTGCTGGATGCATATAGGGGTCCCATTAATGCTCTGTCATCTAATGGAAAATTGTTACAGCAATAGTTTTATTAGACCAATAACATGCAATGTTGACCATCAATAGAAGTTTCTAAGGGCTGCGGATCAGATCAGAAGCCCACGATGGCAACCCCATTATACACCCCAGCCCTGAAACCTAGATGTGCTTTGATTTCTGCAACTGGGAGTATGCCAACCTGGGAATTGACCAGTAGAGCCTTCTAATGGCATCATCCACTTAAATGTCCGGGACTGTGGACATCAAGCTCTAGACAACATCTTTGGGAAAAGCACTAGACTAGTGGGCCCCCTATACAATTAATAGTACAATGTAGTCTTCAAGGTTTTGTTCAGAACGTGACCTCACAAATGTGTCTTCTTTGTTTGTTTTTGTTCACTGAGCAGTATATTAATTAACCCTGGAAACCATCTTAAGATCCAAGAAGGCACTTTAGGATTTTTCATCGCAAGTGATGCCAAAGAAGTTAAACGGTAAGAGTTCATATTTATCTGCCTTATTTTCTGGCCCAGCCATAGACCTCTTGATCCACTGTGATGGGCATGCTTTCAATATGTAGAGGGCCCTAAACCCAAAACTTCTTAATGTGTCCATGGGCATCAGTGGTGCCCAGTCTTAGGAAAAAGAGATGATGCTTTCAGATGTTTCCATGAACTCCTCTTCACGTAGTTGATTCCACATCTTTGAATTAGAGTAATAAATAAAATTTTCTAAGGGAGGAAATTGAGTCCCAGAGAACTGAAGCAAGTGCTCAGAGTCATCCTGATTCTTGATGACCCACAACAATGTAACACAGGACAACTGGTCCCTTGTCTAGTCCCTTGTCTAGGCAGATTGACTCGTGTATTATCAGCTTTCTAATCTAAGTGCCAAATGTAATCTCCAAAGGTTTGGGTTAATTTCAGATGAAATATTCAGTTAGCTGTATTTCTATCTGTGGCCTTCTAGGCAAGGAGTTGAAGTTGTCAGGTTCAATTCTTCAGCCTCTGTAGGTACAGCTCAGGATATCCTTGACCTCAGTGTTTTATGACACATTTTTTAGTGTCCTTAAACCTGTTTAAGCAGCCTAACAATCACAGGGCTCTTTGGAGAACACCATGGAATATTTTTATATTTGAGTCTATCCTATGAACTCTGAAAAACTTATTAGCAGAAAATGTGGCCCTGATAGTCGGCCACTCACTTTAACAATTATGTTATGAAAATTATTTCAAATAAATGATTTATGGAAGCCTATTGTTTTCATGTAATGAGTTCCCACTCAAAGCCAGGCCTGTGCTAACTGTTCTACATTTGTTGTTGCTAGTCCTCAGAATAACCTCATAAGATGAGTCTTCTACAACCCTTGGGGCTTTGGTTTCCTCATCTGTAAGGTTGAGATAAATGATTTGTCCAAAGGTTATATAGCACATAAGCAAGTGGCAGAGCCCAGATTGGAAATGGTCTTTCCTTTTCCCCAAACCCACACTTTCTACCAAATTTAATAATACTAGCAGATTCATATGCAGAGTTTAATGTGTGCCCACCCTGCTCTAAGTACCAGCTACCGTGAACTGACGTCATCCTCTCAACAACCTTGTGAGATAGGTAGCATTACTATTTTTGTTCCCTTATAAGGAGACCGTGATGCAGATTGGTGAGCTAACTTGCCCCAAGCCCCACTACTCATGAGAAGTAAAGCCAGGATCTAAAACCAGGAAGTCCAGTGCCAGAGCTTACCTTCTTAATGATGTGCCAAGAGGTGAGCCTGACGTGCTGAGCACAGAACCAGGATATTCGACAGCTGATGATTACTTTTTTCCTCTTCACCAATTCCTGCAAACTAACCATACTAGTTATAAAAGCTTTTAGGGGGAAAAAAATGCAATGGAGAAACAAAAAAAAAAAAAAAAAAACACAGAGAAACAAAACAACAAAAAAGTAAAATTCTTTAAACTGAGTTAATGGCTTAAACTTACTTCGACAAATTGGGAAAGAATTGCCATTATTCAGATGGAAACAGGAAAACCTTCGTATCCAGTTCATGGATCTTGACTGTTCTTCAGGAGTACCTAGAGAACTGGGTCCACCTGAGCAGAAAGTGGGGATGAATGGGACTGAGGACCCCCCCCCATCCCTGACCAGGTCCCCTGGAATAGAAGGTTGTGCTCACATCTAGACTGTGAGACACACAGGCAGCATCTCAACAGCCTGTATGGGGTGGGGGGGATGTGCTGGGGAGCACAGCGGTGCTGTAGATCACGTGTACCTCCCAGATAGCAAATATAACACGAAACTCCCATTTGTGTAATTCTATTTCCTATTGCATCTCTCACTAATGAATGTCACAAATACCAGGCAGTCCAAAAAACAAATTACCTCCTGTATTAGGGAGTGCAATATGTCTCATTTCAGTGCTTTATGGTATTCACAAATACATGCTGACACAATCAGCTACAACACCAGCCTGTAATTTTCCATAGTGTGTGATGTGTCAGAGCAAATGCTGTCAGTTAGGGGATTTCAAATAGATGAAGACTGCAGAAAACCACAGAAAGGGCCTTGGAGATTTGAATGAAACTAAACAAGTTTTGTAAAAATGGAAAAGTTGATTATGATGATCCAGGATTGAGTTTGTACCCTCTCCTACAAAAAAGCAACCCAAGAAGTTAATGGATTTTTAGCTCACAGAAACTTTCAGATGCCCTGTTATAGGAAAAGAGGAGTGAAACCATCCATTCCAATCTTAGAAAATTCACTTTGGGGTGAACATTCAGTCACTTGTCCCCTATTCCTTGCCCTAAATATTTTCCTTTTTAAATGAACTTGGCCCATAGTCTATGATGTAGGAATCACAAAATGGTGCCCCATTGACCGAGTTTGGCTTGCAGACAGAATTCGTTTGATTCACGATTTTAACAAATAAATGAGTTGCCAAGAGGAAGACCTCCTCATCTTTTATTTAAAAATCCCTGTTCCTGGTTTCTCCTGAAAAACTTGCAGATCTAGCGTTACTGGACAGTATTCTCAAACTCGTTCATCCATCAAATGTCTGCAGGTCACTCATTTTCTAGAACACTCTGTACCAGGTGCCAGGGGAGCAGTGGTGAAACAAAGCCCTTGCTCCCAGAGGCTCATGTTCTAGGGAGGAGAGAATTGCAGTTTTGTTTATTTATGGTACATTAATCAAAGAATTAATGCAGCTAGGTCACTGATTTAGATTGTGTTTAAGTGAAGGCTGCTCTAAAAGGAGCCACATTTGAGCAGAAATGGGGGTGATGGGAAAGAGTCCATCACATAAAGATCAGAAGGGAAGAGGGGACAAGGTGGAGACAGTGTTGTGTGCAGGAAGCCAAGGGATGGAAAGTGTGTCTGAGGGAGTAGTGTGGGGAGAGGAGGTGAGAGAGAAAGGCAGGGCTCGCTCCCATGGGACTTGATGCAGGGGTTGGGTTGTTATAAAATGGAGTCATTGATGGTTTTAAGCTGGGCGTGAAGTAGCCTGATTTACATTTTGAAAGGTCTTTCCCTTTTATTCTAAAGAATGGGATGTAGTGCAACAAGGGAGGGGGTCCAGAGACAAGGAGACTACATTGTGTAACTGAGGGGGAATAACGTGGGCTAGATGAGTGAGTGGAGGTGAAGAGAAGGGAGACCGAGCCATAATATATTTTACTAGAGAGTCTGGAGGGCCCCTGGTGGACTGCATATAAGAAAGAAGGTGGAAAAAGAGGAATCAAGAATGGAGCCTAGATTTGGAGCTTCTGCAGTTGGGTGGATGTTGGCTCCTCACCTTACCAAGAAGGGGAAAGCTAGAAAAGGAGCAAGTTTGGGGCATAAGAAATTAAGAATTCTATTTGGCTATGTTAAGTAGGCGATATGTAACCAAACATAAACATAGAGATGTCATCAAGGCAGTTAGATCTAAGATTCTAGAGTTTGGGGGAAAAGATGAAGGCTGGAGGTATCAGTTTGGGTGCTGTAGCAGGGAGATGACAGATGAAGCAGATGACACACTTAAATAAGAAAAGAGAGGAGTTTTATGAAGGGACCGTATAAAGTTGTGGGCAGAGAGTTAGGAAGAACAAACAAGGAATGGTAAAGCACCCCAGAGCTAGCAACAGAGGGGAGCCATTCTCAGCCCCGAATCTACGAGTCAAGGGGAAAGAGCTATCAGAGCCTGGAGAGAGAAGTTGTAGTGTAGGAAAAGCTGCTTGGCAGGAGCTGAGCCCTCTCTAGTGTGGAGATGGGGCCACCACCAACTCATGATTCAGCAGGGGGGAACTCTCCCTTCCCATCCTCCAGTTTCCTGCTGGCTCTTCCCATTGGCCGAACAGAACAGGACACCAGAGGACAAGGAGACCCTAAACACTGGCTTTCCAGGGTATGGAAATTTGGTCTTCTCGATGATGTGTGTGTCAACATCATCAGCTGAGGGCCACTTGGGGAAGCGGTGGAGTCAGCAGGAGAGGAAGTGGGGAGGAGAGCAGAGAGGGTCGAGGTGGAAGGAGGGGATATGCAGGAGGCCTGAGGTGTGTGAAAAGTCCTCTGGAATCCATGGCCATGGATTTTAAGTAAGATCAGTCAGCACAGTTGTGTTTCCTTTCCTGACCACTTGGCTGCTCAGGTTGAGGTGTACAGTGAGGGGAGGGCTTTGCCAGCTGAGTATGAGAGAGACAGAAGTGGGTGGGGAAGAGCATGGTGCTTGCAAAGAAGTGCAACCTGGCAAAACTCAACTGGAGCTTAGGTACCGTGCTCCCTCCAGGTAGGGGATGTGTCTCCAGGACTGTGGACCAGAGACCCTCCCCACCCCCACTCCCTGGCCCCATCTCACTCTTTAACTTTACCTTTATTTTCAGAATCTAGCTTTAATTAATGAAGTAAAAATCTACGTGATCTTCTCAACAGTCTAATCAGACTTATCACTGTTTCATCCTCTATTAGAAATGTCTTTAAGACCTTGAACTCTGGGACTAGGCTGTCTGGACTTGAATGCTGACTGTGCATGACCTTGGGCAAGTTATGTAATCTCTCTCTGCTTCAGTTTCCTTGTCTGTAAGACAGAGATAATAATCATGACTCCTTTAAAGTGTTGTTTGAAGATCAAATTCATTAATCCTTATAAAGTGCTTAGAATAGCACCTGGCCTACAGTCTGTGTTCTATAAATGTTCCCTGTTACTCTTGTCATTATTATTATATGGAGAAACATTATTATATGGAGGAACATTATATGGGGGAGAAAATGGCAGAAACAAAATGGCTTCCTCCATTCCTGTCCTTCCCCTTTTTTTAGCCACATGGCCACTCAGGGCAAACAATCAGCTACCGTTTTCCTTCCTTTCTTCCCTCCTCCCTCCCTTCATGACTCCCTCCTTCTCTCTCTCTCTTTCTTTCTTTCTTTCCTTCTTTCTTTCTTTCTTTCTTCTTTCTCAACATGGATGAACACTGGCATTTAAAGAAACAGTGAATGAGCTGCTAATGCATGAAGAGCTTTGGGCTTGGATTTAGAAGTCCTGCGGCCAGCTGAGCCCAGCACAGGATGACTTTGGGCAGGTTGTGACAACCTCCTCAACTTACAGATGGGGACACGGAGTCCTGGGGACTTCCAAGGTCTCTTCCAGATCCCAAAGTCTTTTTTTTTTTTTAAGATTTTATTTATTTGACAGAGAGAGATCACAAGTAGAGAGAGAGAGAGAGAGAGAGGAGGAGGAAGCAGGCTCCCTGCCTAGCAGAGAGCCCGATGCGGGACTCGATCCTAGGACCCCGAGATCATGACCCGAGCTAAAGGCAGAGGCTTAACCCACTGAGCCACCCAGGCAACCCCCCAGATCCCAAAGTCTTAACATTGGTTTGTACCTGGTGCCAATCATGTCCAAGTTCTGTGAACACATAAAAAGGAAACTAGGAATAGAATGGTCAAGAATTGTGTTTCTTTTTTTTATAGTCTTGGTCAAGGGAAGACCATGTTTATCCCTGGCATTCAATTTTACATTGGGAATGGTGAAGCCAAGGATTTTGTTGGTCCCCATGTCCAGAGCTTGTGAGGTTGTTCCAGTGAAATTTTATCCCAGTACAGCCCCTGTCCTGAAAGTATCTAGGCCTTCAATGCTGTTCTTCTAGGTCCTTTGCATTCTGTGCTTGAATGATCTTGTTTTGTCTCATCCAGAGTATCTTTGACACAGCCAACGTGATTGGTAATCACACCTTGATTTTTAAGTGAGTCAAGGGGATTTTCTTATTGGTTGCTTTCATTGGGTACCCAACCCTAGAGTGCCCTCTGCCCACCCCATTGCGATGCTCAGCTGAGCTGTGCTCTACCATGAGAAGAAAACCTCCATTTATTACATGTTCTCAGGGCTGGAGAGTATGGGAGTTGGTTCTTCCAGTATGGAAGCAAACGTGGGCTGTGAACTGCCCGAAGAATTTGACAGAGGACACCTTTGACTCACAGCTTTTGTCTTTGCCTGTCCACCTGTGTCCTTAACCTCTCTCATTTTGAAAAGAAATGTGTTTTCTGAGTGATAAGGCTTAAGTTTTTATTTGATAGCAGAACTCTCTCCTTACGGCCCCTTCCATAAATACCTGACCAGACAGCGAGGGTTTCGGAGATGGATTCAACTTCCCCACCAAGGGCCTGGGGCTGGTTGCCCACATGTTCTCACGAGCAGCACTGGATGCTGTGCTCAACAATGAAAGACAAGCAGACCCAGGGTGTCCCATCAGCAGCCATTCCCCCAGTTCCTTTTCAAAGGAAAGTTTATTAAAAGAAGCACTAACTCAAATTGCAGAATCCTGTGTCTGAAATAAAAGGTCTTGCAACAAACATTTCTGTCTGTAAACGTCTAAACCTTTCAAAAGATGAAAGGAAATTAGTGCCGGCGTGTTTCATTAATTTGGCACCACGGTGGAGGAAATGTGGTGCTCGTTTCATTCGGGCGGATTATGAAATGTGTCAGTTTTTCCATTCTCTTTCTCCAGGGCATTTTTTTACTGCAAGGCCTGTCATGATGACATCACAGATCCCAAAAGAATAAAAAAATGCGGCTGCAAACGGCGTAAGTAGTGTTTCTTTCCCCCTCCCCCCCTTTCCCTTTCCCCAAATTTGTTTCTCTTCTCCTTTTCCTATTAAAGAAACACTAAACATCAAGAGGTTTCTTGAATATGTTTATGTTTCACCCAGCAGTTTAAAGAGACATGAAAAAATGCTTGTCCTTGCTTTATTAGAGCAGAGGATGGAAAATCACCACCATCAACACCTTTGAGTGAACCTGGTGCCTAATCCCCACCTCTGAACCCTGGGGGGAGGCCCAGGTGGTTGTGTCCACTTGAATGTGGTCAATGCGGTGTATGAAAAGGAGGGCAGCTAAGACCATGGAAGAGGAAGTATTTTTACATAGTGATTTCCAGTGGATGTGGGACCACCAAGTGTGAAGATGGCTGCTCTAGGGCTGAAAGGGAAACTGAGTCCGAGGACGCTGTCTCCCGAATGGGAGATGACTCTTCTTCCATTTGGGACTGCTGTAAGGTTTGATACCAAGATCCAGAATTTTCCCTTGTAGTTTCTTCAGACTGGCCCAGGAAGAGAACTTGGGCATCACCAATCAGCTTTATTTGCCATTGCTCCAGTAACCAACCTCAAACACCATTGCTCCTTGGGGTAGACTAGATTGGGCTCAGTAGCTTCTGGCATATCCCATCTCAAATCTCTTCCAAAGCAGCTTGTCAATGGGACCTCTTGAGAAAGATATGGTAACTCAGGAACGTTGGATCATGAGCTCCCAAGAAACCAGGACTTAAAGTGAGCATGCCTCGAGAAAGCCATGCCTCTTGAGGCCATTATGTTGTATTGCCTAATAGAAATTGTTCACGACCCTAAAGAAAACAATAATAATGATGCCTTCCTTCCTATGGTGATTTAGTGTTTTCAGAGTGCCTTATTTATGATCATTATTTTCTTTGATCCTCACCCTAACTCTGGGTAATTGTCAGGGGATGTCATTAATTCCATTTTACAAAAAGAGGAAACTAAGTCTCCAAGTTTAGTGGGAGGATGAGATTGCTAAGAGTCACACAGACCCAACACACAGGGCTTCAGCCTCACCCAAAGGCCTTTCCATGCTGTGCACTCAGTGCTCTGATGATTTTTGCAAGAGAGAAGGGCAAGGCAATGACATTGGGTCTGAAGAGTAGAATCACAGTTATAAAAGATCGCCCCATAAAATACTTTTTCACAAGCAGAAACCGGATAGAAGAGCACTATTCCTGGGATATGCCAACCAAAGTTAGGGCTTTTTTCACTGCATTCCTAAAGGGGTCACAGTAATGAAAAACCAGTTAAGATATAAATATTGCTCTGGTGCAGCACAAAGACACTCGATCTTTTAGGCAAATACCCATGGGAGCGCTCTTGGTCCAGAAGAGTTTCTGTAGAAATCCTCCGAGGCTGGTTCCCAAGTTTGGGGCAGCTTAGGCCCATTGTTTTGCTTTCTTCACTGACTCTACACGCACGGCCCCGTTCCCCCCCAGCTCTGACACCTTACTAAGATGAGTATTTATTGAGGTCTCAGTCAAAGAGACACTAAGTTCTTGAGGTCTAAGAATTCTCTGATTCTGACAACCTAAGGGGAGCATATAAGGGTATGTAAGGCCCAGAACAAATCCACTCTACTTCTGATCCCCTAAACTCATTGACGCCAAAGTCCTCCTCACCAGGACGTCCATCCCAGCCCTGCTTGGTTGGCCGTGCACACAGAAACACAGCTCAGATAAGCAGGCATCCCCCAGATCATTTCCATCAGAGGAACACAGTATCCCAAGGTGAAAGTCAACGAGAGTAACAAATACAGAAGGGTCAACTCCTTTGTAAGGAAACTCTCGTAGTGGAGGGGGTTGGGAAATGTAGGAGAGTGTTGGGGCCAATTATCCATGACTAGATATGTGCCACAGAACCTGGTCCCATGGAGTACCACTGAAATTCACTTATTGACTAGCCATCCACATATTTCTGAGTGCTTTCTTTGTGCCAGGTGGATTCTTGGTGCCAGGGATGGAGGGGTGAACCAGATAACATCAGTGTTCTTCTGAAGTCTTCACTTTAGTGAATGGAGACAAACAATGATCATACAAACCATTAAATGCACATAGAGTAAATGTCATGAAGAGAGAGGAGACAGGGTATGGGGAAATTGTCAGGATGCTGCTTTAGCCAGAAAGGTCTAGAAGGCCTCCCTTAGAAGGTGACATTGAAGCTGAGACTTTGTCCAGGTTGGTAGCAAGGGCAAAGGTCAAGAGGCAGGAAAAAGTTTGAAGTGTTGGAAGGAAGGAAGGAAGGAAGGCCGGGGGGCTGGTGGGAATGGGGAAGGAGTGGAATGAGATGATGTCATACAGGAAGTCAGAGGCTATGATGAGAAACCTTGGGTTTTAGTCCTATAATTGATATAGCCACTGGGAGATTTGAGCAAGGACACAACATCATCAATTCCTGTATTAGATGACCTCCATGGTGACGTGGCAGAGAACAGACTCTAAATAAAGGCAAGGGTAGAAGGTGGAATGATGGGGAGAAAGTGTCTCTGATACTGGATGTTCCCCACTAGGCACTGCAATGGAACTCAGCAGAAAGCTTTTAGGTCCCTAGAAATGAGGATTTGGACTTTAGAATATTTTGGCACCCTGGTTCCAGGCAAGCAAACAGCAGTTGACTTTAACTTCATCCTGGAGGGAGAGGCACACAATTGTTTGAAATAATCATATTCTCTTCATTCTCCTTAGAGCTGGTTCAGCTGGTGACGTGTGTGCTCTCTCCCCATGCATGGCATGGATTGGCATGGAAGGACTGCCTCCCAAAGTGGAGCCGGCATGACGGGGGTCTTGCCCCTGGCTCCCTGTACCCCCTTCCCTCTTGGACTCTTCATCTCATAGAGGCCTCTGGCTGTGAGGTTAATGTTTGATAACAATCAAAATTGTCCAAATATTGTTCTAATTAAAAGGCCATAACAGCCTGTGTTCCAGAGGGCAGGATGCAGATGTGTACATGTAAGGGGCAGTCAGAATAAAGTGAATGATTAAACATGAACCTCCCCATGCATACCAGGCAAGTCAGGAAATTGGGGAAGATAGCTTTTTGTTGCAAAGAAACTTTCATTAGAAGGAGCTAGAACTGTGAATGATGCATTGGCGGGGGAGGGGGGGGGAGTTCCTGTGCCTTTGATTGCACACTGCCCAGTGCCCTAGGTTGAGAGGGCAGCTGACCCACATAGTCATTGGTCCAAACCTCTTAGGCCAGGTGTTAATAATTCTAGAATGATCCACCTCCATGAGGTCAGAGCTGGTGACAGTCATTGGTCTTTATCCACAGCTTCCTAACCCTCCCCTCCCAACCTAGCTCTTCCCCCTTCCAACCCCACCCTCACCTCCCCATTTGCCTTGAACATTTCATGCCATACTATCTGGAGAAATACTGAGTGTGGACATTCCATTTCTGGAAATTCTGTGGTAGTATAGTTTAACTTTTGCATTTCTTTCCATTTCTTCATAGCATTCCATCAAGGAAGAGAGTCAAATTCAGCTGTCTGGCCAAGGAGCAAGTTCTCAGAATCTACTATTTACCCATTTTCTTCTTCTGTATAACAAACCTGGTCTAATGATTTACATTTTTTCCCCCAGCCTGTAAAAGTTTGCCAAAGGGTGGACTCCCAGGGGACAAGTCATGTCTGAATTGATGTGTTTGAAGGAATTTTCTTGAACTTCTAATCATTGACATATTTTTGATTTATTTTTTTTTCTCTTTGCTGCCTTGGAATACGGCCCCTACTCTATTTTAACTGCACACTGGTAGTGATATATTGTGAGTAAAACGGGTTCCCAGTAGCCCGGAGTCCAGTTCCCCCTGTCTTTCTCTAGAAGAGATACTTCTTTTATTTTCTGTACAGTTTCAGTTTCTTTTTTTCTTTTGGTATTTATGTTGCATGTAGCAGTGACATCATGCCCCAATTCCCTCATCCAACATGGTCTGCAGAGGAGCCTGGAGCTAGAGACCCCCTCCCCAGAACAGGGACCCCCTCTCCACACCTCCGTTCATCTTCCCATCCCACAGCCTCTTGCCAGCTTCTGGCGCTGTCTTATTTTTCCATTTGAAAATAAGACCTTGACCACAGTGTTTCTCTTGAAGACCTTGTCTCGGGACCTTTAGGGGATGCTGAGTAGGCTGAGGTAATTACCACTCTAGCTGTAGATGCCTCGTCAACTGAGGGTCATTGTCATGCTTGCCTTTGATACATCAGACCTGGTCTCTGCTACTGAGCTTGAATTTGTATCCTGAAGGAAACACATATGCTACATATATATTCCTGGGTTGCAATATATATATGATACGTACCAGTACTTTATATGTTAAAATGAACCTTTTTTATATATAAGCATAGAAATATTTTCTAGAGAGAGCGATGTGTTTAATACAATATTCATACCTCTCTATGTGAGAAAGTGCTTGCTAGAGAATTAATTGGATACCAGACTTTGGTATTGTCAGTATGTTAAGCCCCCTTACTGGACACAAGTATTTCCACAGTGGTAATTATTTCCTACAGTCTATGAAGTTCCCTTGCTTTTAAAACAAAGTTCCCCTTCCAATCAGTACCCACTAGGACATACCCAGTTCTGCTGTGGGTGTTAGGCTTTTTGGAAGATCTGTTTACTGGTTTCAGGTGGAAACGTTGGCTCAAGGACAATGTTCCATTTCATTAGTGAGCTAGGTAGAAGTCGGAACGAGTGAATGTAAGTCTCTGAGCCCCTAACTTACTCACAGAGTAGGGCCCCTCTCACCCGACAAGATGTGGCCATTTCAGGGCCAGTGTTTCTGTGGGTGACTCCGAGCAGTGCTGCCTTCGGTGGCACCAGCAGTGAGCGTCGTCGGGTCTGTACTCACATCCGTGATACTCCACTGAACATGATACCCAGCCTACAGATCGGTTCAGTCCAGCAGTCCTGGCATCTGGAGATATCTCAGCACTCAGAACTCTGATTGCCTTGGCGCTGTGCGAGGGGGTCATCTGGTTCTGGCTAGTCTTCTGAGTTTGAGGCTCTAGAATGCTTAATGTACAGACAAAAGAAATCAATGACGTCTTTAGTCTGTCACACAAGGCCGCCAAAATGGACTCTGTGGCTCCCTTTATCTGCAGAACACCTGGACGGATGGCTCGAGGGCATGTGCCACTCTTATACCTGCAAAGGCGCCTACTTTACCTCATGATCCTTCGGAATCAGACAGAAAAGAGGATGTCAATCACCAAACAACTCTGGTGCCAAATGCCTCTGCCTTGCACAGCCACGGCGTGCTGTGGAGGGCAGGATCGACGAGTTCTGTGTACTTTGTGCCACTGACATTAACTAGCTTCCTCTTCCCCCTCTTTCTGTTCTTGGAAAACCACCCAGAAAATCTTTCTTCTCCCTGCACAAACTAATAGGAGGAATTTTACTAAGTGAAGACATCATTCCTCATTTACAGGACTGGAAAGAACGCTCGCCGATTCCCAGCCTCACGTCAGACGAAAGCATCACCCTTCTGCCTCGGTGGACATTTTCATTCCGTGGATGCTTCTAGTTCTAGTTTTAGTTGCTGCTGAGCCTGTGAAGAGTAGCTTCAGGGTTCAGGCTTGGAATTCATCCTTCCTCCACTGGGATTGATTTTAAACATGTCATTGTGATCTAAGAAGTACCTGTGAGCTGAAAGCAGCGGGTATTTTCTTCCTCCACACTAGTCTTCCTTTGAATTTGCTCCATTCAAATCTAGAAAACTTTCTCCAGCGGTTGGAAAACTCCACCTGAGCCTCTCAGTCCAGCGCTGCTTTCCCTGCCCCTTCCAGCCCACCCTGGAAATTAAGATTCTGCTGTTGGAAATTGGTTGGCAATTTGGTTGCTGATGCGGGAGGCAGATGGTGCTGAGCACAGGATGGAGTCTAACTCCCTCTTCGTTCCAGGCTTGGCTCAGAAGGGCTAACCGGCAGAGATCCTGAGCGTGACAGCTCATTGTCTGTTTGACGCAAGGAAGGAGCAGTAACTGAGCCACATCTCCACCAGCCACTTCTCTACAGGTTTCTTTTCTCGTGATCATGACCCTCGAAAACACAGGAAAAGTGGTCCGAGAGTAGGTCTGAGAAATCCCCCATTTTTAAACACTTAGGAGTAAACGGATAGCCTTGATGATGTCCATTAGGGCAACACTCTCATTTTTATCTCTACAGATAGCACTAGGAAGTCATAATGGAAATATTGGAGGAATAGCCACTCCATTTTGGTGAAGGAAAGCACATAAAAGCTTTTTCTCAAATTGTAAAAGGGCCGAGACAAAGTTCTTCAGAGGAAGGTGAGATCCAGGGTCTCATTCTTGGCAACCACATAACCTCTTGGAATCTGTGGCGCCGGTCCAAGAACAAGAACCTTGTGGTGTGGGCCAAAGAGAAAACGGAGTCCCCAGAGGCTTATATTTCTGCTTTCCCTCAGTAAGTTGGCCTATGGGACCAATTAGTTAGGCATAAAGTTCCAAAAGCCCTAAGACGGAATGACAAGTAGCTACAGTAGTCACGCCTACCAGAGACACGCTCTTGTCTGTTTCCTGTCTCAGGAAGCTGTAGTAGGGCTTCGAGGAGACCCAGCCAGCTGCTGCTGACGTGGGCCCTGTCTACCAGCCGTGGCGGCAGAGCCAATGTGTTTGCAAGTCGCCACTCTTGAACCAACTCCTAGAATTCACTGCTTTGCCCCCACTGCCCCCTAACATCCGCTGTGAATGTCCAGAACCACTGGACTGAAATGACACTGCAAAGATGTCAATTCTTGGAGGCACACAGGGTCCCCTTCCTGCTCCCTTGCAGAGAAAGGCCAGCTAGTTGTCTGTTGGCTAGCTGCTCTTCCATGCAGATCCACTAGATGTCCCTCTAGATCTACTTTGTATCTACATTTGCATTGAAATCCTGGGGAAAATTCCCTTTTCCGAGGCTTGGGATTTGGGAAGAGAGCGTTAGGTGGCTGTGTGAAAAAGAAAATCAGCAAACACCAAAGGTGAGAGGGCACTTTATGTGTCCAGGGAGTAGATTAAGAAATTTAGCTCTGGTTTAAATAAATACTGAAACTCTTAAAGTTGCTCTTTGAAACCTAACCTCGGGAGTGTTAAGTGGCACTCTGATATCTGAAATTAACCTTCTAACCTACATCAGCTCTAGCAAAGGAAACAGTCACGGGGAAATGGAAATAAAACACCAGCGATTGTGAATATCCGTGATTCGCTAAAACAAAACAGGAGGATTAGGAAGCCAGAGATGGTTGAAGGGGACAAGGGGTGGTATCTTCTAAGTCAGGAGAGCCACGACTTAATTTTGATAAAATTTTATTTTACAACTTGAAAGTGTAATTTTACACACAGTGTCCACATCCTATGGAACAGCTACTACCATGCAGGCAAATCCTCAAACGTGTTTAGTTCAAGTGCTTGTTCATGACTCATTTAATGGCCCAGAGGAGGGCTCTTCCTGGCTGGGAGGTATATCCGTCAAGCCTGATGAATCACTCCACCAGAAGGGAGGTCAGATCGGCCTTACCTATTGAGAGGGTGGGCCTGGAAGTGTATAGGTGAAGACATCTTGGGGGTGGGGGCTGTCGATGAAAATGGACTATTCCAGAAGTAGAGCGAGAGAGCCACCCTCCCAGTCGGTGGCACCTTGGTCTAGACATTGTAATTCACAAAGGTTTGTCAACATGTGGGGCTCAATCATTTTTTAACTGTTTCTGTCTTGTCTTTGAGCCTCTCATTGGTCATTCTTGCTGGTTTTTTTTTTTTTTTTTTTTTTTTTTTGTGGTGGTGCTTGTTTGTCTTTTGAGATTTCTATTTTGTATTTGGTGTGAGTGTAAAAATGATCACTGGGGAGGAATGACGAGTAATAGCATGTTTGCTTTTTTATGCATATGCTGCTTTGGAATGTGACTGCTTATAATTAACATTTAATCTTCCTATAGCAAATGGTTTTTTGCTGCTTCGATTACCAGTTTCAGCCTGTTCCTGCATGCTAACAATATGAAATTTTAGAACAATGCATGGTCTCCAGAACAGCCAGCAATAACTGTTGCAAACAGTTCCTGAGAGGCCCTGGGTTGAAGTTGCGTTTCCTCCTGAAGCCCTTATCAAGTACGAGGTTTAAAATCACCCATTATGATGGGCTTACCTCTGACAGAATCGTTTCAAAGTTATTCCGCCTCATCCTCCCTCCCCTTGTCCTTAAAGACGGTATATATAGAAGAACTCTCTTTCCCTATAAATGTGTCAGATTCTATTATTGTATATGAACCCAAAATGGCAGTATGGAAATGAAAACCAGGGACTGTTGCTAATGAGAAGCATAGCATTTCAGAGTTTGATGGGCTTCTCTTCTGCTACAGCATTTGATTAAATTTTTTTCAAAACGATTTATTTACAGTGAAACAAAAAAAAATTATCTTTGTTTCCCACCTCTGTGTAAATAACAAATCAATATTTCCAGTAAAAGAACCAGCCCCCCAAATGAACAAGCGGTCTACCAGTTGTCCATCATATCTGGATGTGTGTAAAATAATTTTACTTTTGTGTCTTCAGCTGAAGACTTTTTCCTCTTTCTTGACTTGAACTCCTACCGTTTGGGGTGTCTGCGCATTCATGCCATGCCTTCTGAAGTCTTCCAATTCAAATGCTATAGTGGAACTTTTCTTTTCTTTTTTTCTTCTTTTTTTTTTTTTTTTCTTCTTTCTTTTCCCTCTCTTTCTCTTTTTTTTTTTTCCTTCGGTAAAAGCTCAGCTCAGCTCAGGAATGATGTACCACGCATG